TATATATATATATATGGTGTCCAGATTCATTTTAAAAATGAAAAAACACCTTTTTGTCATGTTGTCTCATAGTAGAGTCTCACAATAGGGTTCAGACTCCTCCATTTTATTATTGAATCCTCACAAGTCTTTCCATCCAGATTCTTCTTCTCCATTCATTTTTTTTTTCATGTAATTGCATCCATTACATCTTATTTTATCTACCATAGGCTGGTTGACTTGCTTTTCAGTTTTCCTAGCTCTGTGCTTTTGTTTTGGCTACTCTATTCCCTTTGAGAATACGCCCAACCCCTGCCACCCACCTTCTGTGTGGCTGCATCTCTTCCAGGAAACCTTTTCAGACTAATCCCCCACCCTTACTGATCTGACCTGCCTCTGAACTCTGTCCAGGCAGACCCTTGCGATTAATCACATACTGCTCACATACTGCCAAGTGAATTTATCTTTATTTTGCCTTCTCTGTCTTGCTTTTTCATTCCCCCCACCCCAATTTGCCTCTCTGTATTATCATGTGTGGACGAATGTGTGAAGCTAAACAGGATGTCTCTGAAAATAAAATCTATGTCATATATTTTTAGAACACACAACCTGATCAGTGCTTCATAACATTGTTATTGGTTAGTAATTCTTGCTTAGCATCTGGATTTGCAAACTGATGCTCTCATGCTGCTCTGCAGCTTCTGAAAGCCTTGGGAACCCAGCTTTCTCACACTAATAGAACCAAGAACAGCATCTCTAAATAATAGGAATACATTGGAAGTGGGCTTAAAGAGCTTCCTTTGTAATAAAACTCAAAGCTATTCTATAAGCCAAGATAGGTGGAATCTAATGCTAATCACCTCAGAGTTTAAGGGGTTTTCAGATGTCAAGGATTTGGGGGGAAATTAAATGAGATTTGCCTGAGGTGCTCTTCCTGTATGCTCACATCTGCCCAGTACCTTTTCTAGCCCCTCTGTCCCACCACAATAGTGTGGCTTTTTCTGGACTTGCTCTACCTCCACCCTCATCCTTCCCCCACAACAGGGAGGTTGGAGAACTGGGTGAGGCACTGGCTTTAAGGGCCCAGGAAACACTAACAGGCATTCACAGCTCTCCCTGTTCCTACAAGCTGATGTTCCTAGGCAAATTGACTGGTTTCTCCAAGTCTGAAGTTTCCTCTTCTGTAAAATGAGGATAATAGAACTTCCTCATAGAGTTGCCTGAGAGGGAAATCAGATAGGCCATGTAAAAGGCTTAAACCATTGCAAGTACATTATCACACTGAAAATAGTCAGCCCATGGCATAACAGCTTATAAACAATATGCTGATTTCTCCCATTTAAAAAAGACAAAACAAAACAAAGTCTCTTCATCTCCAATCACTATCCCTTTAAAACAAAACAACTCCCCACTCTGACTCCTTCCTCTCCCATTCTCCGGCACTCTCTCTAATCAGGCTTGGCCCCCTCCACTCCATTACAGCTGGGGTTTTTTGCAAACTCACCAATGACTTCCGTGTTGTTAAGTTGAAGACGTAATGCTCAGGTCAGTGCTCTTGACCTGGCAAGTAGCATTTGACACAGCAGATTTCTCCCTCCTCCACAAAACACTCACTGGGTCCAGTCTCCAGGAACACCCACTCCTCTGCCATGACTGCCTCCTTGTCCTTCCATCTCCCTACTTCTGGCCTGGTCCTCCAGCTTCTTTTTTTTCCCTATGGATGACCCTTGATGATATCACCCAGCCTCATGGCTTCCAACGCCATTTCTACACCGGCATCCAGCTCGCCAGCACTTTCTCCCCTAATCTCCAGACTTGTATCAAGCTGCTGCTCAGCTTCTCCACTCACATCTGGTACGGGCTTTCAGAGATGTCTGAAACTGATCTCCTGTCTATCTACCCTCCCCAAAACCTGTTCCTTCCATAGTCTTCCCCATTTCAGGAACCTATCCTAATAGTTGTTCAGGGTAAAAACCAAAGTTAACCTGACTCCTCTTTTTTCATTTATCATGCAGTTTGTCAGAAAACTCTCTCTGCCATGTCAAAATATATCCAGAATCTAATCCCTTCTAAGAAGCACTGGTTCAGCCCTCCTAGCAGCCACCAACGTCCTCCAGCTGGAATAGTATGGCAGCCTCAGCCCCTCTCCCTGTTTCCACTGCCCTCAATCTATAGACACTAGACTGACCTTTTAAAATGTAAGGCAGACCACATCACTCTGGCTAGTATTCTGATGGTTTTCTCTCCAGGTAAAAGCCAAATGCATAATGCTGGCCACCCAGCCCCTTTGGCTCAGTACCTGCTGTTTCTAAGTCCTTCTTATGCTGTCCCCCTCATTCACTCTGCTGAAGCCACCGCCAGCACACTCTAGGTCCTGCCTCGGGACCTCTGTACTGGCTCTTCTGCCTGCCTGCCTGGAAAGCCCTCTGCCAGATGGCCACATGTTCACCTTCACTACCCTTAGGTCTGCACTCTAAAGTCAAGTCCCAAGACTTTCCCTGACCAACTGTTTTATTTTTCAACATAGCTCTTCTCATGCTTTACATTTTACTTATTTTATTGTTGTCTTGGTCCATTGTTCTAACCAGAATATAAGCTCCATGGAGGAAGGAGTTTTTATCTGCACAACACCTGGATGGTGCTTCACATGTTAAAAATCAAATGTCAGCCATTATTGCTGGTCCTCGCCTGGAGTCCATGGCTGGCCTTGACCTCCTGTCTTGTGCCCTAGCTTCCTGAGGATGGAGCTGTCTTACTCCCAGATCAGCATCCTGCCTTAACTGCCTCTGATTTGGTTCTGTCTGTCTGTTCTTCCTCCTCAGATGCATACTCTCATTCCTCCAGCGAAAATGGAGGCAAATCTGAATCCGTGGCCAACTTGCAGGCTCAGCCTTCCCTGAACTCCATCCACAGTTCCCCTGGTCCCAAGCGCTCCACCAACACCCTAAAGAAGTGGCTCACCAGTCCTGTGCGTCGACTCAACAGCGGGAAAGCAGATGGAAACATTAAAAAACAGAAGAAAGTACGCGATGGTCGGAAAAGCTTCGACCTGGGCTCTCCCAAGCCTGGGGATGAGACCACCCCTCAGGGAGACAGCGCTGATGAGGTACTTAGGGGGCCCCGGAGCCCTCCATCTGGAAGGCACCACTGACATGCCTCCGGCATGGTTCTGTAATCTAGCCAGTCTCCAAGAGCTTGTCATCTTGAGCCTCAGTGATGAGTTCAATCTGTGACCCATTCATCAGAGAATAACCAATACCGGGCATATCCAGCAGCCAGAAACCGCTTTGCCATATTTAGAGTTAGGGGCCTGGCTTGAGGGTGGCAGTTGGTCACCTGCCTCTACTGAGGACTACACCAAAACTGTCCAGACCTATTCAGACTAATAGTGAAAGAATGGAGACCATTTCACTATGAAAATAGAAGACTGAGCTGTGCCCAGGTGTTTGGAGCAGTGCCACGTGTAAAGGGAGTAAACAATTCCAGGTTGCTGCAGAGGGGAGAGCTGTGACAGAGGTGCGGCCAGCCTGGTCGCCACTCAGCCAGGAGCTTTGATGGGGCACCCAGTGAGGGAGGATAAGTACCAGCTCTCATCACTGCCGAGGTTGAGAAGATCTTTCTGATGTGTAACCATACTTCTTCTTGTAATTTTATGCCCTCTGCCATTTCTTCCTCTGGAAGTGGCATAGGGCCTGGTGACATTTCAATTCAGCTCTCTAGCCCTTCCTAAATTTTTAAAAAGTTGAGCTCTCTTGGCTTTTCTTTCAGCGTTCTCTCTTTCTGACTAATCAGTGAGATAGATTGTGAAGCGTTTTGAGGGGTTTTTTTTTGGGGGGGGCGGTATTTACCCCCATTTGGTTCTCACTGTCCTTTGAGATAAGCAGGGGTATCTACGTTACAGAGAAAGAAACTGCAGCTGCAAAGAAAGGCCTGTGTGTCCAGAGGAACCCTCCTCGTGTCTTATGTTTTTGTATGTCAAGTCTGAACCCTTGGTATCTTAACTCTGTGAAACAATAGCTAACGCTGCTCTTTTGTTCTAGAAGAGCAAGAAAGGTTGGGGTGAAGATGAGCCAGATGAAGAGTCACACACACCCCTCCCTCCGCCCATGAAGATCTTTGACAACGACCCCACACAGGACGAGATGGTAGGACCTCTGGCTTCTCTGTGGAAAAAGTAATGCTTTATGCCCTGGACTTCATTCCATGTGTGTGTGTGATGGGAGAATGATGTTCTCTCTCCCTTGTTATCTCTTACTCCACGCGAATCCACAGTGATAGCGATTCTAGGTGTCCTCTGCCCCGATCCTGGAGGTCTGGCTTCATTCTGGGCAGTGTAGTGGTGTATGTAGAGTTCTTAAAATGGATATCTGCCTGGAATCTCATTCTGTTGATATAAGTTAATGGCTCTGTCTTTGGAAACAGCAGCTCTTAAAAGGAACTGTTTGTCCCCAGAAGGAATCTGTGGTGGTTCTAGGTGGCAACCATGTTATTATGCTTGACCATATGATCTGTTTTAGTTGTCTTTTCTATACCCAACTCTGAAATAGAATCATGGTGACTTCCAGTCAAGTCCTGTGCTGTTAACATTCTGCAGTCTCAGCAGACAGGTAGAAATACTGCTAAGGGAGGAGAGGGGTGTCAAAGGTAGGCAGGCCTAATGTGCTCAGTTGCACAAGTTTTTTGTTTTGCAAAATTCCACAGCCTGTCCCCTGTGCCTCTGACCCCCTAGGGGTCACCTCAGTCATTCTGGAGCAGAGGCTCAGACTGGATGGTTGGAATTGACCCCATAGTACTAATCTGGGACGTTGGGCCACTTTCATTATGCTATCTGTCCCTCTCTCTTTTATAGCCATGCCATTAATCAGTGGGGTTTTCCTTGCCTTCTCTTGGTATGACCAGTACCTTGGACTCTGGAAGTGGTTTTGTGTTTGGTTGTCCTTTCCATTTGCTTTAGGAGCATCATTTGGTGGTGGTGGTGGTGGTGGTTATTTGCCTCGCTGTCCCTCAGGCTTCCCCTGTGCCTTCTAGTTCTCTGTGGGGCAGCCTCCTCCAAGGTGGTGGGACCACCATGTGTGTGCAGGAAACAAGCCTTCATGATCCCACCTAGGATGAGATTCAAAGGAGGTCTGCAGAGGCTTCTGTGTTTCTAACATCCCAGCTCTTATATTAATTCTGTCTGCCCTACATTTAATTATTAATTCACAACCATTATTTCAGGTCTTCCTCTGTGCTATGCTAGAAGGACAATCTAGGAATAGGACAAAGACTAAGAGGTGGTGACTGCCCCTGGGGCTTGCACATGAGAAGCACACACAGTTATGGCCCCTCCTGAGGTGATGTTGGTGGCTCTGCTCTCTGACTCTGGACTGTTGGGAAGAAAAGTAGTAGGAAGCATGGCATTCTGCCCATCCTGGATCCCCAGAGGCAGAGAGGCCTGCACTTCACCTTGAGATGGGAATGAGGACCAGCCTGCTGGTATTCCCAGAGTTCTGCCCTTGTAAAATGTTCTGTAAACAGTGACATGTCTATGGGGGTGGGGTTCTCATGTCCCAGTATCTGCCATCCCACACCGCCCTCCGCTCAGAGGTGCCAGCTTGCATAAGATAAGAGGTCACGCACCCTCGCCCTTGGATTCCCTCAAATGTGGCTTGTTTGGGAGAAGTGGATATTGTGCTGTTTCTGGGTAATTTTTAACCAAGAGTGTGATGTACCCCAGATATTTGGGTGGCCCTTTTCTTAGCCAGAAATAGGAACAATGGCAACAGTCCCTTTTATTACATTAACTCTCCTCAGTCCTGCTTGCTTGACTTCTGTACACAATATTTGGAATTGAGATGAGCATCAGAACTTCTAGCAAATAGAGTTAGACTTATTAAAAACAATTTTTGCAGCAGTATAAAAGAATCTTTAAAAGTTCAACCATTGCACTATTATGCAATCATCCTCCCTGTTTAACCATTGTTCACATGCATGCGTGTTTTACAATTACTATGTGCGTATGACGTGCTCCATGCTTTATCTGCTGCCATTTCCTAGAATCTTATTAATTTTACCTTCATGACTTTAACTTTAATACCTGGAGAATGTTTTACTTTTTTGATGTTCCATAATTTGCTTGACCAGTCCCTTCATGGGACATCTGAACAGGGTGTTTCCAATCCACTACTTGAAATAATACCTCTGCAGATCACGGTGTATATATAGTATTTGTTCTTCTAATGTCAGTCCTTGGACTAAATTCCCAGGAGTAACATTCCTAGATCAAAAATGATATCTTTGTTTTCCAAACCATGAGCATTTTCCTGCATCCCCAAGAGAGGAAAAAGAGATTGTTATAATTGTTCTTAATTGTACTTATTTGATTCTTCCACATTTCAGAAGCAAAGACTGAAAAGGAACTCTTACATTAGAAAGGGAGTTTTCTTGTTTGAAATTCTTCCCCTAACTTAAGGGAGAAACTTGAAGTCAGGACAAGGCCAGGACAGTCAACTTTCTATGTCCACAGTGGTTATTCCCATGCGTTGGCCTGGATACCACTGCCCTCCACTCTGAAATACATGCAGGCTTGGCCATCTCTCCCCCAGCTTCTCCTCAGGTAGAGGAGAAAGGGAAAACCAAGCAAGCAAACAAAAGCCATCATCCAGCGAGAGGTTATCCCCAGCCCACTGAGCAAATAGCCATACCAACAAGTCCTTACCCCTGGTGCAGGTGGAAGAGGGTCCCAGAGAGGCCCTTCAGTTGAGCCCCTCTTGGCTGTAGCAGATGTCCCCACCTGCCCAGCATGTAACACACAGCTCCTGCGAAAGCCTCTATTGCTTCTTGGTGTTCAGAGGCAGAAGCAGAGAAAGAGAGGGAGAAAATGTGGAAGGGGGTGTCTAGCTTCCAGGTCTCTAAAATGCCCTGCCCCTAGCATTTTTCTAGGCACTGTAAAGATCCATACCTAAGGCAGTAATACATTTGAGACTGGGTTGATGGATTGCTTGCAGCCCTGGAAAGCAATGGGCAGCCATATAGTGGCTTAAGCCCTATTTGCCCTTGGAGCATTTGTCCCTGCCTCCTGCCATTAGTAGGTGTTGCCCTTGCCTATTGGCCCCCCTAGGAACTCAGTGACCCTTCCTCTCAACTCCTTTGGAGGCCTGCCTAAGAAGAGGCAGTCCCATCTATGCTTTGCTGCTGCCAAGACTTCCTGACCAGGGGTTGGGCAGGCCTGCTCCACCCCACTACTCTTAACCCCATTTCCCTCTGTCGCCTCTTCCCTCTAAACACAGAGCTTTCCTTTCCTTGCCTGCCTTGAGCTTTGGACTTTCTGTTTGGCTTTCTAATCCTTGCTAATCTGCTTTTCCTTTGCTGCCCAATGTCTTGCAGTCCTCCTCTTTGCTAGCAGCCCGGCAGGCTTCCTCAGAAGTACCTACTGCTGCAGACCTTGTCAGTGCAATAGAAAAGTTGGTCAAAAGCAAGCTGGTAAGTGGGGGTCCTGGAGGAAGTTCTGTGTGCATGTCACCTCCATGCGGCTCCCAGGGCCTTGAATCTATCCCAGGTTCTCATTTTCACTTATCCTCATCCCTCCTGTGGAATTATTTCCAATAATGATGGTTTTTGAAAACCTGTGCTCCAAAATCCTTCTTGGCTTTGCTTTGGATTGGGCATGGGAATTTAATAGGCCTTTATGGGGTTGTGATGTTAGCAAAAAGCATAAAGTATCCCATACAAATTTGCCTCACGGTAAGCCTGACCTGCTGGCCCCCAGGCAAGTGGCCTTTAGTCAGTGACTGAGGTGTCTGGATGCTCTGAAGCTCATTCACTGGGCTGCTGAAACAGGTGGGTCTTTGAAAATACCAAATAATTTTATTTAGGGAGCTTCTAGCTTGCAAAGTCTTGCAAAATTAAGACTGCTGGTTCTAAAGGGGAATGGGCAAAAGTGTATAGATATCTTGCCACAAAAAAATCAAGGGAGTAGGGTGCGGTGGCACATGCCTATAATCCCAGCAGCTCGGGAGGCTGAGGCAGGAGGATCATGAGTTCAAAGCCAGCCTCAGAAAAAGCAAGATATTGGGCTGGGGATGTGGCTTAAGCGGTAGCACGCTCACCTGGCATGCGTGCGGCCCGGGTTCGATCCTCAGCACCACATACAAACAAAGATGTTGTGTCCGCTGAAAACTAAAAAATAAATATTAAAAAATTCTCTCTCTTTCTCTCTCTCTCACACTCTCTCTTAAAAAAAAAAAAAAAAAGCAAGATGCCAAGCAACTCAATGAGACCCTGTCTCTAAATAAAATACAAAATAGGGCTGAGGATGTGGCCCAGTGGCCGAATGCCCCTAAGTTCAATCCACAGTACCCCTCCCCAACCCAGAAAAAAAATCAAGGGACCTGGTGCCTCTCTCCATCATGGAAGGAAAAACTGAACATAAGCACTGGCAGCTGGTCTAGCCTGTGACTATTCAGTGGACCCATCACGCCACCTGAAGGCAGGGTGGTCAGTCTGAGCTGGCTTGGGACTTTGGCAAAGTGCTGGTGAAAATTCATTTCTGGATGCTTCATTAGGACAGAGCTGCCCTCCACTCCCAGGCTTTGACGTCTAAGTATCACTGTAAGATGACAATTTGAAGCATTTTCCTTTCTTTCTCATCTGTGTCACCCATTTGGCTTTTCCTGCAATCTCATTAAGATAAATGCCTATGCTCCCACCAGGCTTCTGCTGGGAAGTCTTGTTAATCACCACTGTTTAGATCTTTCTCCACCAGGCCCAAGAATTAGAGGGAGATGGAGAGTCCTCTCTAGAGCAAGCTGCCAATAATTTTGATTCCAGTGACTTCCTTTTCAGATATGCCATCTTTATAGTGTATAAATGAGGTTTAACACATATGATCTCCTTCTTTTCCTACCAAATTTTCCTTTCAAATTAGAAAAAAAAAAAAAAAAATGGCTGGTGGTTTGAGTTACAAGCGTCAGACTCTGCGCTTGCCCATTTTTCTGCTGTCTCTCCTTGTCCTCCCAGCGGGAGTCAAGGGCTCTCATGGTCACCACTGACTTTTCAAAGTCACACGTTTGGCTTTGTTCCCTTTGCATTTTTGTTCCTACCACTTCACTTCTCCAGAGTGTTCTGCCTCTTGTGTTTGCTTATCTAGTGCATAATGGACCTTCAAGGTCCCACTCAAACTCATCTCTCCACAAGGACTTCCCTGACCACTCCAGGCCAAACGCCCTCTGAAATCCAACTGCAGTTTCAAATGCCAGATGCTACTTGGGGCACCTCTTAGATGGCTGTTGTGCCATTTGTTAAAATACCATGATGTTTTCACTTGCAGTTTACCTCCCCAGCTAGATGATAAGTCGTTTAGGACATTCATATTTTTTCCTCCAGTTGTATACAGGAGTCTTTTATACTTAATGGGTTCTTCATGAATACTTGTTTCAAAAAAAATCCAGGGGCTGGGGCTGTAGCTCAGTGGCAGAATGCTTGCCATGAGACACTGGGTTCAATCCTTAGCACTGCATAAAAAAAAAATAAATTCAATAAAGGCATCTACAATTACAAAGAAAATGTTTTTAAATCCAGATTTTTTTATATTTTAGGTTACCTTTCCCCTTCTATTGCTGACTTGTGCTATTGAGAGTCTCCTCAGTCCTCTAGTTTGTGTGATCAGTGAATCTGTTATGCCTCTGAGCAGAGTTGTTGACAAGTCCCATAAGAACAGATTTCCCAAAGAAGGGGAAGAGTGGGATGGCATTGGAGTTGATCAACCCTGTAACCAGCTGTCAATCAATGTCTATTGAATGAATATTGTTACTGCAATGAGTTTACCATAACAAGGGCTTTAACTTCCACCAATAACTGCTCCTTAAGGACCTCCAGTGAGCCCAGAATTACAGAGATTTCTTTGGCTTAACATGAAACCAAGTGCATCTTAAGAAAGGAGTAAGAAAGTAGTGGCTTTGTTTCTTAGAATCATGTCACCAAAATTTGATTCTTTTATCTTCCCTCCACTTTCTCTTTCTTCCCATCCCACTGTGGGACAGCAGTGGAGCAACAGAAAATTGAGACTACTCCAGCCATGTGTGAGAACACTAAGTTGCCTCTTCACCTCTAAGACTCCTGTTCCTATTCCTCATCAGTTCCTTGGCTTGGGAGGGAAAAAAAAAAAAGTAGAGCTCATAAAAGTTTGGGAATATTTATTTGATCAAATAAAATAGTGTGAAAGCTGCCAAAATATCCAATGTTATCATAGACTTGGTTAATGAAAGTACAATGTATAGGTCAAGAGAAGTAATAGTTCCATTGTGCTATTCAGACCACACCTGTCCTGAGTGGTGTGTAATACATTGTATTCTAAATGCAGCATTCTAGAATGATCTTGAATAAACTGGAAGAGCCCAAGAGGAGGTAAACAGTACCATGTTGTCCATGTCAGGTTAAAGAGACAGAGACTCTGGGGAGAAGTTAGAAGCATGGCAGAGCCGTCTTCCAATTACTGAAGCACTGCAGTGGGACTGAAGGGTTGGTCTGCTTGGGCTGCTCCAGAGGGCAGGACCTAGGTGCGCAGGTGGGAGTTTTCTTAGAGTAGTGTAAAGAACTATCAAAGTCCTTCTTAATGTGCAGAGTCCATTTTACAGAAGCATCTGTTAGCTTAAACCTTTATCCATAGTTATTTTGTTTTTTTTAATTTCCTTATCGGTTGCTCAAGCAGTGACCCCAAATTCTGCACTTAGAATTCAGTTGCCCTATAGCTGTACCTGAGGGCCAGGAGGTACCTCGTGTCCCCATGCCCCAAAGCTGCTCCTGTTGCTTTATGGCCACGTAGTCATTGTTGCATCAAAGCTTCTGCCTCAGTGTGAGCGCTGATCTTCATTGCCCAGGAACCACCAATAGAGCTAGCATACTGACATACTTTCTGGTTTATGTGTTAAGGTATTGTCTTTAACTTTGAGCCAGGAGTAAGGTCTCCCTCTGCTATCCACATGTGATTTTTTTTTTTTTTTTTTTTTTGGAGGGGGTACTGGGATTGAACCCAGGAGTACTTAACCACTGAGCTACATCCACAGCCCTTTTTAAACATTTTAAAATTTGAGACAGGGTCTCACTAAGTTGCTTAGGGCTTTGCTAAGTTGCTGAGGTTGGCTTTGAACTTGCAGTCCTCCTGCCTCAACTTCCCAAGTTGCTGGAATTATAGGTGTGTGTCACCACGCCCGTCACCCCATGTGATTTTTAATAAAGTTTTTTCTAGATCTGTGGACAGCTATTGCTGGTATAAAGTATGTAAGGAACCTGAAGACCCAGGTTTCCATTCTACTTCTGCTACCAGTAATATAGCCCTGGAAAGTGTATTGGGCTCTTCTTTATCTCGCTTATCCATGATGAATCTGTTCACCTGAATCTAATCTCAAAAGAGTAATTCTGATGGTTGAGTAGGCAGGAAGTGTTTTGCAAACTGATAAGCAGGCACCTGCAAATGTTAGCTCCTGGCCACTTCTGCAGCCTTGTGAGGGCAAAGGGAACTGCATCATCCTCATCTCCCATTGCCCAGTGTGGTGCTGGAAAAGTGGAAACTTACATTCTGCTAATAGATTGGCCATTGGGTAGATGTTGCAGGGTAATTGTTTAGCAGTCCATAGGACTTGGTTTTATTCCTCAAGTGTAAGGAATGAGAGCTTGCTGGCCATGTGAGACTGTGTCTCTATACTGTGGTCCTGAAGCCCCAGGATTCTACCCTGCCTGGCACAGAAGATCACACTTCCAGAAAGGAAGGCCCTCTCTGAGCTCATCATCAGGTGGCATGCCAAAACAGGTCACTAGACTCCAGATGACCCTGCTGGATGCTTGCTAAGAGTCCTCTGCCTCTAGGCAGCACTGAGCCAGTCGTGAGCTCTTCTTGAGTCCATCTAGTGGCCTGGCATCCTGACAGTGTGCCCTGTCTGCGTCAGCAAGTCTTGCCACCCTTTGGTTCTCTTGCTGTGCTAGCATTCACTTCCCTGGCCAGCCTCATGGGCCACAGAGGAACCTGGCAAGGACCAGGCTGTACTTGTGCATGTTACACAAATTGGCTTGTTTTATAAGTTGCCTTGGGAAAGTGAATTGGTCTACTTGGACTCTCCTTTATCTCACTTATCAGTGATGATTCTGTTCACCTGAACCTAATCTCAAGCAAGTAATGATGATTGAGTAGGCAGGAACGTGCTTTATAAACTGATAAGCAGGCCCCTGAAAATGGGGTGGAGTTAGCAGAACTTCCTGGTCTAGATGGAAAAAAATAATGGCCCCATCATATCCACAGTGGAGGTATACGTTTTTAGGAACTAGATTCATTTGGAAATCCTCTGTGGAAGAAATTTCTGAGATGCTTGTCAGAATAGAAAAATTTAGAATTCCATCAAAAATTTTTAAAAAAATCAACCCCCAAATCACAAACCTGAAATGTCATTTGTCTGAAAAATCCACACCTCAGTTTTTCCACTATCAGTTGTTCCCATGCCCACCCCAAGTTTGCCTAGGAATGACTTAAATCTAATGTTTATTGGCCAGAGTATATTATCCAAGTTTTAAAAAATATTTTATGTACATATTTGAGGTTACCACAAAATATTATGACATATACATAGATGGTTAAATGGTTACTATAGAGAACAAATTAATACAACCATCATCCCACACATTATTTTTCTGTATGTGTAGAACAGCTTAAATCTACTTATTTGACAAAAACCCTTAATATAATACAACTTTACTAACAATGGTCCTCAGATAGTGCATTAAATCTCCGGATCTAGCTTGTTACATCATATCTGCTATTTTGTATCCTTTGATCTATATAGTTCCTATTTTTTCACTTGATCTCTCTCCTCCCACCCCAAATAAGTATTTTATTCTCTCTCTCTCTCTTTTTTTTTTTTTTTTTTTTTTTTTTTGGTACCAGGGATTGAACTCAGGGGCACTTAACCACTGGCCACATCTCCAGCCCTTTTTTGTATTTCATTTAGAGACAGAGTCTCACTGAGTGACTTAGGGCCTTGTTCAATGGCTGAGGCTGACTTTGAACTCACAAGACACCCAGTTCACTATTTTATTCATCTATATATATTAGACATTTTTTGAAAAGACTCCACATATAAGTGAGATCATGCAATATTTCTCTTTCTTTATATGTTTATTTCACTTAGCATGATCTTCACCCATGTTGTGGAAAATGGCAGAATTTCCTTTCTTTTTTTAATATTTATTTATTTATTTATTTTTAGTTATAGGTGGACACAATATCTTTATTTTATATTTATGTGGTGCTAAGGATTGAACCCAGTGCCTCACGCATACTAGGCGAGTGCTCTACCTCTGAGCCACACCCCAGCCCCAGAATTTCCTTTCTTAAGGCTGAAAAATATCACATACACACACACACACACACCCTACCACAGTGTCTTTATCCATTCATTCACCAACAGACACTTAAGATTTTTCCACATCTTAGCTACTGTGAATAGTACAGCACTGAACATAGAGGCGCAAATATGTTTACAAGGTGCTGTTTCATAACCTTTGGGCATGCATATACCCAGTCCTGTCAATTTTGTGTCTTGTGACAGTTTTATTTTTAATTTTCTTTAGGAACCTCCATACTGTTTTTCATAATAGCTGCACCACTCTTCATTTTCATTCCCACCATTCCTTCCCCTTTCTCTTTGCCAGCACTTGCTCTCTCTTTTTTCACTCCTTAGCTCTTTCTTTTCTAGAACCTCCTCATGCCAGCACCCATAACACAGTCACTTACTGGTCCCTCCCCTCTCCTCTACCTGCCCTGGGCTTGCAGCTTCTGGGCTGCCCCACGTGGTTCATTCACCCCATGACTTTTACTCTCTGGGCTGCTGCTGCCTGGAATGTCCTCCCATTTCATTTCTCAATGACTGTCCCTCTGTATCCACAGGTTCTACATCTGTGAATTCAACCAACTTCAGATTGAAAATATTTAAGAAAAATCTGTGTCTGTACTGAACATGTCATTTTTCTAGTCTTTATTCTCTAAACAATACAGTATAGCAACTACTTATTAGCACTTACATTGTATTAGATATTATAAGTAATCTAGAGATGATTTGAAGTATTCAGGAGGATGTGCATAGGTCATATTGCAAATCTTAAGTGGGGCAGAAGTTCTCATTGTAGCAGAAAACTGGCCTGTTTCCTCCAGGAGAAGCACTAATTGCAGGTCACCTTTACTTGCCCTTGATTGGAGCCTAGTATCCAACTCTAACACAGGCAACTAGGTCTTCAGAGGGAATCACTCTTGAATGACTGCCAGCATTATAGCTAACTCCATGATTCAAGGCAAATTACCCAGCATACCGATTACCAAGCCCTTTATTTCCCTCTTCCTGCTCTCACTGAATCTACCTTTTAACTCTGTGCCTGAGAGTCCTGCCCCAGAGACAACTTGGGCTTCTTTGCTCACAGAACAGTCAGGCAGAAGAACATGGAATGCATTTCACTGTGTGACACTTTGGACTCCTTAGATGTCCTTCATTCTCTAGATGGGCTGAGAGTGGCCCATGTCAAGCTGGATGTACCGTGGGGGCATCTTGTAAGCAGAGCTGTAGGCCTGCTTCCTGGGCCTGGCAGTCTCCTTCCTGCCATCCAGCAGGCTAAAGAACAAAGACCACAAAAGGACAATGGGAAGAGGAGGAGAAAGTAAGAGGCACTAATGGGATCCGTCACCAGCTGGGTCCATCTGTCTAGCAGCCTGTCTCTGGTGATGGCACCAGGGGACATGTCACTGGAAAGCTTGCCTGTCCACTGGCTTGTCAAGCCTCGGCACCAGACACTCTAATTTCCTTAATAACAGGTTACAGACTCTGTGTCTATAAATGTAGCTCAACCCTTCTCAACCTTTCTTTATTTTTAGCCAATACTGCTGCTCTGGATGTAACGGTTTCCGTAGCTGATTACTTTGTTCTGTAAATACCTTTATGTCAAGTAGAAAGAAATTCTCCCTGTTGGGCTGGAAGACCCTGTGCTCTTAATTCTAATTTCTAGCCTTAGTGACAAATTCATGTTTGGCATATTGTGTCTATTTGGGAGGCCAAGGAAAAGTGGATATCTCTTTCAGTGTTGAGATTTTCAGATTCAAGTTTCTATCCTTTGTCACATAGTGTCCCATCAGGATCCTCATTCCTTTTATGTTTCCTTTCCTCAGACTTTCCTGCCTCTGTTTGGTCTATGTTGAAATACAGCAGCTAAACTAGGCATGGTGGCACATGTCTATAATCCCAGCTACATGGGGGGGCGGGGGGTGCGGCTGAGGCAGGAGGATAGCAAGTTTGAGGACAGCCTGGGCAACTTAATGGGACCCTGTCTCAAAATTTTTAAAAAAGTGGTGGGGGTGCTGAGAATGTGGTGTCAGTGGTAGAGTGTTCCTGGGATCAATGCCTAGTGCCACACACACACACACATAAAACAGAAAAACAAACAAAACCCAGCAGTTACTGACAGATGATGTCAAGTGCAGATCATTTAAGATCAGGCTGAGTCTGTTGTTCCTACTACCTTTTTGCATGACACTTTTTTGATCTTTGTGACTTTAACTCAGGGCCATTTTCAGAGACTACTAAGTGAAACCTCTCCGTTTAGCCACTGTGGCTGGGGTAGACAGGTGCCTTGGGTGGTTTGGATTTGTCTCTCATGCTTGTTTTACATTTGCCCACCTTGACCTTGATCTCTCCATTACTGTTTATCCATGTGGCTTCTGTCAGTTCACATAATCAAATAGTAGGTGTCGCTTGGGTCTTCCCAGGACACTAGTGAAAATATTAGCTTGGACCCTCTTTTGAGTGTTCTTACTGTTACTAGTGACGTCTGTGAGGGAAAGCAGCTCACCACTGCAGAGCATTTGTAACTTTTCAGAGAGGTTGACAACTGTTGTCTCTGTCTATTTCTCAGAAATCTGTAGAGAGAAGGTTTGATTTGAAAATTGACAAAAACTGAAGCATGGAACCATTTTAGCTGTCCATATAATATTCTGAAATTAGAATTTTTGTTCCTTACCCTTAGTTCCTTCTAAAGTACTGTATTTTTTTTTAGTTTTTTTATTTGTTCTATTTAGTTAGACATGACAGTAGATTGCATTTTGATGCATCATACATAAATAAAGTCTAACTTCTCATTTGTCTGGTTTGAAGGACTGTATTAAGCCATTTAACTTCTTTTTTTCCTGATTCTATAGCACTTGATTTAAAAGAAATGAGAAGAATTAGTAAATGAAAGGAAGCCATTGGTAAATAACCTTAGCAGAGATGTTTTTTGAAAAGGTTAAATCTACAGGTTATTTCTTGTCCTCTTCAAAAGATTTATAACTGATTTAACAAAACCCTGCTTGTTTGTTTTGAGGTCTATCCCTCCCACTGCCTTATCAATTTGCATTTGATGGCCTTACAACAGATTTTCTTTTCTAACTCCTTATTTGGTACAGAATTGCAATGATTAGCTTTCCCTCTGGAGCCCTTACACAGAGATAAGTTGCTTTGACAATAGGCAGTTTCATTAGGCCTGGAAAGTTGGCCAAGGACATCCTGATTGCCTAAGAAGGCGACAGCTCAGAGCTCCCTGCTGCAGGAGGGTGGAAGTCTCTGGTGTCCTAATGCTTCACTATGAATCAGTGAGAACAGCCTTGGCTGTTACTTCTCAAGCTGGTTGTGGGCAGACTGGGGGACACAGGGCTTCCAAGTGACTTTTCAGTGTACAATTCTCTGAAGCTGTTTGTTCTTGTCTTTTTAGACTCTTGAAGGAGGCTCCTACCGGGGGAGCTTGAAAGACCCTACAGGCTGCCTAAATGAGGGGATGACCCCACCCACTCCTCCTAGAAACCTGGAAGAAGAACAGAAAGCCAAGGCCCTTCGAGGCAGGATGTAAGTAATTCCCCAGATCCCACTCTTGCAGGTGTGGCGGACCGTGGTGAAGGGCTGGGGGTACTTAGGGATTCCCCACGCTGTGCTTCGACTGATCTCAGACAGAAGTGAAGGTGACTCAGATCTATTCTGTGTAACAGTGACGAACAGTGAGCTACTTTGGCACTGTCTTGAAGAAGTTTAGGCTGAAGTGTCTTCTGTTAAGTAGCAGCTATTAATGACAAAGTATGGTTTTAACTAAGATCTGATAGAAATATTAAACATGCTGATAAAAAGGAAACTGTGGGACTATTAAGATGGGTCTGTAGTACCAGAGAATCCCTAATCATGGCAGAAAATCTGGTGGAGGTCACCTGAGGCGATATGCCCCAAGTATAGGCAAGTGAGAGATTAGAAGAGGAAGCTGTAGTACGCCAGGTAGGGCTCATCTCAACCCCTCCCCAAGGGCTTTAATTCTGCATCATTTAGTTCTACAAAAACTGCCTTTCCACTTTGAATGGCTAGTGGTAAAATACAGTTCACATTGCAGTCTGTTTCACAAAGATCCTTGTGCAATGCAAGGTCCGGGTTATATGCCTCCTGTTACGTGAGATGATAAGGAAGATATGGATGCCAGTAATACAGAACCATAACTCCTCCCTTACTTTAGTTTTCTTATTCAGAGTTTGGCTGAGCTGGAAGCCAGCTGCCAATAAGTCTTGAACATGGCTCAGTGTGAAATCGTGAGCAGCAGTGAGAGCAGGGTAGGCAGATGGGAAGGGTCCCTCTCTGCTGTTAGTCTGCCCTTCTCCCTCAAATTAATCACTCCTTTTGCCAAGTCACTGCAAATTGATAAGGGAGTGGGAGGGATAGACCTCAAAGTAAAAAAAGCACATTTTGTTAAATCAGTTATAAAAAAAAAATAAGTAGGGCTAAATCCTTCTGTTACTGGGAAATGTGTTGAGTGAACATTTAGGACTTTGTTTCCTAGGAAACAAAAATAGAAACATCATAGCAAGAGCCTTGTGTCAAAGCAGGGCTGTCCCCTCACAGTGGGGAAGAACAAGAGGCATGCAAACTCTATAATTTCATACTTACTCCCACAACTTTATGGGTGCTTAGGAAGAACCCCAAGAAGTTAGTAAATGGAATCAAGATTGAGAAATGTCATTTCCACAGGGAAATTTCCTAGGACTTTTACAAAACTGGTTCTCCTTAGCTTACATCAGTCAAGCCAAAACAAGGCTTATATCAGGGAAACAAAAGTTTTCATCAGGGAAGTGACCCACAAGGTGGCCAATGGTCCTTAGCAAAGACAAACACTAGTCTCACTCATGTTGACCAGGCCTATGAGAATTATGTCAGCCATTGTCCAAATATGATATTGTCTGATTTTGCTACCATGGATCACAAGAGTGTGTTGCCTTTTTACCCAGGGACCCATCTCTCCTCCCTCATCTCATTCTCACCAAAGCCCCTATTTCTCCACATCCTGAGCTATCCTGAAAATCTACCCGACAGTGTCTCATCCCTTTTACTATATATCATCCTTTTGGTATATATGGGAGAAGTAGGACAAACAAAATAAATTAGGTGGTATGTCAGAAGCTGGAAAAAGAAAAGAGCAGTGTGAGGGAGATCAGGAATGAGGCCAGGCTGTGGTTTTAAGTGGTTCTGCCATTTGCACAAAAACCAGAAGGAGGTAAGGAGTTAGCCATGAGGAAGAGTGTTCTGGGTAGAGGGAACAGCCAGTGCCAAGGGTCTACAGGATTTCCTGTGGAAGACCAGCCCTTCCCTACCACTGTGAAAGAGAGAGGGTTAGAAGTGGGCCCAACCTATAGCTGGAAAAATTTCACAGGGACCAAAGAACAACATTTATTTGTGGCTTTTACTGATAAGAATTGAACATGGACAGTAATTTATTATTCATTCATTTGGCAATTAATCCTGTACTGCCTTAAGATGAATATAATTTAAATCTCTGAGGTAACTTTTCAGAAGGTCTTTTAATGTGTCTCAATCTCCCCCAGATACTTCACCAGCCCCTTAAGGGAAAAAGGCAAGGCTCCCCAGCAGACCTGATGCAAGTTCCCTTCCCTAGAGGCTGACAAGCCTAGCCAGCCCCAATGTGTCAGCAAATGGCTGAAGATAAAAATATCACGTGGACACAGAGCAGTAGACTTCATCTCCACAGGCCCCTCCCAGCCCCCAATTCCCACTCTCATTTTCCTGTGGTTTTCTTTAACCACTGTCTTCCAAGCGGTACTTGGGTCATGCTAAAGATATATTTGAATGCTTTATATATTTGGCCTTGCCAGTTCCTTCCTGTGGCCTGAAACACTCGCTGGTCTGTGCTGGAGGGAACTGGTTGGAAGTGCTGAGCAGGCTGATAAAGAAGCATGTGTTCCTTTGCTTCCTTCCCTGGCCCCCAAGGCCCCTAGACCCCGGGGATTTGGTGGCTCCTCAGTGTCACACAGAACAAGAGTTTCAGCTGAATTGCTTCCTGGGTTCAAAATGGTTACAACCCCGGCACTGGGGTCCCTGGTTGACATCTCAGAACTTTACCCCTTTTGCCACTTGGGCCAAAAATATACTTGTGTGGCTTCAGACAAAACTTTTTCAAATCAGATAGTAAAGAATCAGACTCCAGTAGACTCAGAGCAGCCCCTCCCCTGTGCACAGCCAAAAGCATTTTATGGATAGGTCTTCCTCTTCACTGTTGGACAGAAAAAGAGGAGTGTTTGGGGCTGAGGCTTCTGGGACTCCAATGAGCCAGTCTCAGCCATTTGCCAGGCAGTGAGCTACATGAAGGAGCTCAGTCTTTGGACTCTTGAACAACTGGGTTCAAATCCCAACTCAGTCCCTCACTTTGTAATCTTGGGCAAGTTACCTAATCTTTCCATTTGAGTATTTTCATTAAATAAAGTACGCTTTACAATACCTACCTTTTTACAAGAATAAGAAAACCCAGATGAAGTAACTGGCCTTATAGTAAATGCTCTAAGAAGTAGAAATAATTAACAAGAAAGCCAAGAAAGTAAATGTCCTTGCCATTGTTCAATCCTGCGTCTTGGGACTGAGCGCTGCCTTCAAAGTTGTGAGTGAGGAATGTCTGCAGTCAGCCTTTCTGGCCATGACTGGGGATTTTCCAAGCCAGTTACCATAGATACCCATGTGAATAATTGTAGCTTCTAGATTATAAAGTAAAAGTTTCTCTCCATATCTGCATTTCTGGGGCCTTAACAGCTTGTTATCAAACAAGTGTCTCTCTCCTCTCTTTAGGAAGAATGGAACTGAAACGAAGGAATAAGAGTCTCATATGGATCCTTTGGCCTCAAAGCTTTTGTAACTCAGTTTTGCCAAAGGAGTTGTCGTTCTTCCTGCCCTGTGTCTCTACAGTCATTCAGGGAGAAAGAGATATAGAAAGTAGAAAGAGGATTTCAAAGCAGTTGTTCATCATCCTTGTCTGACTTGTGTGCTGGCTAAGGGAAAGTCCTTGCTGGCCTCGTGCCCTCAGAGAGCAGCAGTGAGCAACTCTGGGGTGCTTTAAGGCGTTTAAGTAACTTTACTGTGACCTTAATGTGAAGACTTCTTGCTTAACAATAAAGAGGAACCCTCATTGTTCTTCATCTCCTGTTCAGGTTTGTCCTAAATGAGCTGGTACAGACAGAGAAAGACTATGTCAAGGACCTGGGGATTGTGGTGGAGGTGAGTATCTGGTGCAGAGTGAGTCTGTGCTCACCCAACTAGGAGCAGGTTGGACCCTACATGGGCAGGGGGTTAGCTTAATGGCTGCATGTATTTTACTCTCTCTGGGTATTTGCAGGAATGAGTATTAAAATGATAGCCAGGTGTGTAATCCTAGAGACTCAGGAGGCTGAGGCAGGAGGATCACAAGTTCAAGGCCAGCCTTGGCAATTTAGGGAGACCCTGTCTCAAAATAAAAAATACAAGGGGTGAGAATATAGCTCAGCAGTAAAGCACCTCTGGGTCCCCAGTACCCCCCCCCCCCACACACACACACACACACAAAGATGATTTAAAGGGTATAATTCAAATGTAATATGCAGGCACTTTTTTCTTTTCTCCTTGAAACATTTATGATATTTAGAGAGAGGTAAGGGCAGAAATATTATAGCATTTGGGGAGCTTCTTGATTAGAGTTGCATCCATTTCACCTTGTTTGGGGTGACCAAGTTATGATCTTAAGAGGCTATTAGATGTTTCCTCATGTGAACATATATTCTTCAGAATTCTGAGCACCCTGGGCACAAACCAGGTAACTTTGAGTGGAATCTTGGGGCTTACACATTTCCTTAGAGTTCAAAGAGAATGTCATAGCTACCAAGGAGACAGACAAAGAAAAAGCCACCAATAAGCAAGAGTGACAGGTCCCCAGTTAGGAATCAAATTGGTAATAAATACAACAGCTCCAGCTCCATAGGGATTAACTTTTGAGAACTTAGACACTTTTTTGGAGGACAAAGCCTAAGGAAGTAAATGGATAATTTAGATAGCCTAGATTCGTTTTGTTTAGCATCTTAAAAAAAAGATAGGAAGTCTAAAAATTGAATTCCTAATATTTAAATTGCCTGCTGGTTCCTAACAGTTGCCCTTTAAGTCCTCATCCTGTGAACTCTGCTGATAGATGGCTCTGTATTTGCCAATCCTGAGCTTTGGATAAAGAGACTAACCAGGCATAGAGAGGACCTGAATTCTAATTTATGGAAAGTCACTCTCCCCCTTGGGAATCTGTAGATTGAGAAACTGAAATCCAGGAAATTCAGACATCAGTGGTGTGATTAAAAGTAATATAACATGGGTGCCTTGGGTTTTTTTGTTTGTCTCTCTGATGGGGCCATGTGCTGCCTGTACAACCTCACAACCTGATTTTACAGCTGAAATGAGATGACATAGGACTGCTACAGAGCCTAAAGTGTTAACATTTTATGACTTATTTATAGGCCAGATGTATCTAGTTCTGAGTCTTTAAAAATATAATTAACTTGAGTTAGGAGACAGGGAAGGAGAGAGAATCGTTTTCTTCTTTGTTCGGCTTTCTTTTGTTTCTTTCTTTTTTTTTTTTTGGCAGAGCTGGGGATGCAACCCAGGGCCTGGCGCATGCTAGGCATGTGCTGTACCACTAAGACATAGAAAGCACCCAGAAACTTCATAAAAGTTTTGACTCTCACTCTGCCCAAGGGCAGAGTCTTGGCTGAATAGGAAAAACTACAGCAGCATCACCCTCAGACTCACACAAAGCGTGGGCTTCTCTGGGTGCTCCAGGTGGCCTTGACCCTTGACCTGCAGGTGCTTTCTCAGGAGCATCCTCTTATAACTACTGCCTGTCCCCTGCAGGGCTTCATGAAGAGGATAGAAGAGAAGGGCGTTCCTGAGGATATGCGAGGGAAGGATAAAATCGTGTTTGGGAACATTCACCAGATTTATGACTGGCATAAGGAGTAAGTGTCCCAGCTGCCCTGAGGGTCAGGGCATCCTGGGAAATCCTGGACTCTGGAATCCTTTTCTTGCATCAGATGTAAAAGACAGAGTTTGAAGGGAATCTCCTGTCGTTTATCTCCCATTGAGAGGTAATGAAGTTCCAAGCAGTGTGACTTCCTCCTTTCATACTCTTTCCCCTTTTAGTTTTTTCCTGGCTGAACTGGAAAAATGTATCCAAGAGCAAGACAGACTGGCCCAGCTCTTTATTAAACATGTGAGTGACACACTGGTCTCCTCCCCATTCACTTTAAAATTCCTTCTTTCTTCCACTCTTCCTGGATTCACTTTTCTTCTTTCCCGTCTCTGAGGTTGTTTTGTGTTGTTTTTTTTTTTTTCTTAAACCATCTTGGCCATGTGGAAGTGGGGTCCAGCCCACTACATTTCCTAACTGCCTCAGTGTTCCTCCAAGTGTGGGTCACCCCTGTTCCCACCTCCATGTGTAGAATAGCTCAGCACTCAGAGAGCGAGCACAAGGCACAAGATACCTGACTGGCGCATTCCCCGTCTTTCCCTGTGCTTTGTCAGGAGCGGAAGCTGCACATCTACGTGTGGTACTGCCAGAATAAGCCGCGCTCGGAGTACATCGTAGCTGAGTACGACGCCTACTTTGAGGTGAGCTGCTCCGGCTTTGCTGAACAGGAAGGGGAAACTCAGGCCAAGAGAGCCACATTCAGAAACACCAGCCATCGTCCACCCACAGGAGTCGCTGCCTCAACAGAGCCATTAACTGCTTACTTTAGTTCCCCTGAGCATCTTTGCTTCCAAGGAGCTGAGTTGGCCCCAGCTGTGGACTGCGGGAGGAACTTCCGTTAGCAGAATGATTCTGAAACAGACTGATTGGAAGCTCTGATCCTTCCCCAGTGACCCCAGAGCAAACTGTGCCCACATTCTTCTGCACGACCCCCTGGGCTGCTTGCTGGGGCCTCTCCTTGGTTGAGGGGTTTGCAGTCACTTCATAGCCTTGGTTTCTGTTCCCAGAGGTTTAAGCCTGGATGGATTGACTTTGTTGGTAGAGAGGCAGCACCTTCTCTCAGAGATCAGGGCTCAGCTGTATGGGTCACTGTGTCCTTGGGGCAGCTCTTCTTGCCTGACTCTGCTATGGAGAGATGAGAGAACCTGTTTCAGCTTGTCTCCCAAGACTTACGAGAGGACCAGGTGTGACAGTGCTTGCCATGAAAGCACCGTAGCCAGGCAAGAAGGCTATGGTAGCCTGTGTGATGTTGTAGTGTTTTTAACAAACAAGCGGATGTATAGGCAATTCTACCTTTTTCCTCACTTGAAGATGCTTGAACTTTATTGGGAAACATGAGGACGGGTGATCCATGCCTCGGAACCCTGACCCAGAACACTCAGCTCTTGGATTCCTTTCTTTCTAACATAGCTCCCTTGTGTTTCAGGAGGTAAAGCAGGAGCTAAATCAACGGCTGACGCTTAGCGACTTCCTTATCAAGCCCATTCAGAGAATAACAAAATACCAGCTGCTCCTCAAGGTAAGATGCTGGGAGCCCAGGCCAGGGCTGGAAGAGCATCTCCTTAGGCTACAGCCAGTGGCTCTGTCTCCTTCACACTGTGAAGGGACAGTGAACTGCGTGGGCAGGCATGGGCTTTGGAGGTGCAGACTTTTCTTTCCTCTACTATATTACTCTGTAAGCTCTGCCCCCAGATAATTTGCATAGCTCTTGCTTCTACCCTTAAAACTGATGGTTACTTGATTTTTTTTTTCCAGTTCACTTTTTTTCACTGACTTAATACCTTTCAAAACTAACAAATAATGACATAAAATCAGAGTGGAATATGAGTGCAAAAAGAAAGGAAGGGCAAAGCCCTAAAGACCTTAGATGAGTAATACCTAAAACTTGATCATATTTTATTTTAAATAATAGTTTGACTTGATTTTTTTCTCTTATGGAATTTGAGACTAACTGGAAAAGTCTGGACTTCCCTTCCTCTCATCCTGTCCTGTCATTATCCCCTTTACTTTCCTCCCTTCTTTCTTCCCTTCCCATCTCCCCTAGCTTTGAAATGTTGAATGTCCTGGGGGGGGGTCTTCTTTATGTCATTACATCTAGCATGACTCATAATTTCATTTCTCAGCTACTGCAGACCATTGTCACCTCTGCCTAGAAAGAAACTCCTTAGGATGTTATTGCATTTTTACAATAAGTTTTTTTATAGCTCTCTGACTATTTTACTAACGAATTGTACCCCTCCCTGCACTCCTCCCTGCTTCCCCTCCTTGCTAGGACTTCCTGAGATACAGTGAGAAGGCTGGCTTGGAGTGTTCAGATATCGAGGTGAGTTTTCTGCTTGTAATGCTTTCTGTTCTTAGGGACTGCATTAGGCCCTAAAGGGAAAAGATTGTCTCAGGAAAACCAAGGGTCCAGGCCAACTCCTCTCACTCTTAGCAGCATGAAAAATGGCTAGTTAATGTGCAAAGTGTTGTTTTCTAGAATTCAAGAATTCTGTCCTGGGCCAGCCTAGCACTTAGCCTACTGCTGCTCTCTTTGTGGCTGCAAGAGATCTGTATTAGGGAAGGGTGGTTTTTGACACCTTTAACATCCTCCAGAGAGTGGGCAAAATTGCAAATCCAATATGTAACTTTATCCACAAATCCAAGTAGTATTTGACTCCAATATTCCACTTTCAGTCCCCCACCTCCATTCCAAGGACTACTCTCTAGGTGAAGTCCTTTGTGTCACCATTGGGATTATTTTAAGCCAGAGAGGTTATAGCCTTTCTGGGCAGGCTATTTTAGGTCAAAACCTCAGTGTTTCCCAAGCCAGGCAAAGCTGTTACTTGGGCTATCAGGAAGCAACAGAAAGAAGAAAGAAAAGATGAGGAGGGGAAAGCAGGGAGATGGGATAAGAATGGACGAGGTAATGATGCCCCAACATGGGTGACTGACATGGAGCCCCATCTAAACAGAACCCCATGGTCCTCTGAGAGTGGGCAGCAAGGACCACATGCTTTCCTAAAATAAAGGCACTAACAAAAGGCAAGGTCTCTGTCTTCTAGCCCTGAATTGCATGAGCTTCCTGTCTAAAGGCTGTTCTCTCTCCTGAGTGACCGGTGTTCTTTCCCGCAGAAAGCTGTGGAGTTAATGTGCCTTGTTCCCAAACGCTGCAATGACATGATGAATCTGGGACGCCTGCAGGGCTTTGAGGTGAGCCCTTGGAATGCTTCCAGCCCTCTCTCCTCTGGGTGGGAGTCCTGCCGAGTACTGAGGCCTCTTCCCTTTGAAGCCCCGTGTCCTGCCGTCTCTGCCTAGACCCCTGGTTTCCAGGCCTGGAAGATGCATCTATTTAGGAAGTCCAGTGATAGGGCAGAAATAGAGCTCTTGGCCAAACTGGAATCAGAATTCCAATGAATTTAGAAAAACCCAAAGTTCTTTATAATTAAAGCTGGCAATGACCTCTTCCCTCTTCCTTCCTGACTGAGACTATGAGAGACAGCTGGATAGCAGGATATGTGATGGGCATAGATCCTAAGTGGGAAAATGAACAGTCTTTGTGTTTTTTTTTTTAAAGAGGGTGGTTTCTGTTGAACAGATCTATGTAATGAGTGAATTTTTAGATCAGTGAACATTTCTAATTCTAAAACCTCTCAGGACACATTTCTGGACTTTGAAGAGAAGAACCATGTCTTAAGGAACAAAGCCAGATGTCCCAAGGATAACTGAACACACAGGTTTGCTAGGGCTGCCAAAAGAAAGTACCACAAATTGGGTGACTCAAACAATAGAAATTTATATCCACAGTTCTAGAGGCTGGAACTTATTCACCCAAACCTGTATTTCAGGTTTGGGTGAATAAGTTGGGCTCATGACATTCTTGAGCCAAATTGTCTTGTCTTCCTTATCCTGTGTGTCCTTGTCTGGTTTCCATGTTTGTTTATGATAGGGGATCAGTAACTGGCTGGAAGTTTGAAATCAGGGTGTAGTCAGAGATGTTTCCTTCGGAGCATCATGAGGGAAGAATCTGTTTCAGGCCCCTCTCCTTGGCTTGTTGAGGCTGATGTCATGCTCAGTGACATTCTCCCTGTGTCTTCACATCCTGTCGATGTGTTTCTGTGTCCACATTTCTCTTTTTTATAAAAACATCTGTCATATTCTATTAAAACTCAGACTGATGACCTCACTTTAACTTTATTATCTCTATAAAGACTCCATTTCCAGCCAGGTATGGAGGGGCACACTTGTAATCCCAGCGGCTCAGGAGCCTAAACAGGAAGATCACAAGTTCAAAGCCAGCCTCAGCAAAAGCAAGGCACTAAGCAACTCAGTGAGACCCTGTCTCTAAATGAAATACAAAATAAGGCTGGGGTTGTGGCTCAGTGGTTGAGTGCCCCTGAGTTCAATCCCTGGTCCCCTCCCCCACAAAAAAGACCCCCATGTCCCTATAAGGTCATATTCAGAGGTCCTGGGGGTCAGAACTCCAAAATATGAATTGGGGGCAAAGGGAGACACAGTTCAGCCCTTAACAGTGAACATTTGAAGACAAATTGACTTTCCTAATTTATATTTCATAAATAACTATTAAAAGTTGATGTCCAAATCTCATAAATTAAACATGTTTTGAATATTAATATGATAAAATTATAACCAACAGTTATTAACTGGTACCTAGTAGTTACTGATACCCCTGGAAAAAGATGTGGGGTTTCTAATCCTGTTTCCCAGTAAATCCTGCCATCTATGATTTCATTATTCCTTTTTGAAGAAAATGGATTCTTTGAAGCTGAGATAATTAGTAAATGACCCCCCTCCCCATCCCCCACTCCCCAGCTAAATCAGAATAGATTAAATGGTACAGGTAAACCAGTGGTATAAGTTAATCAGGAGGTGCTATATTTCAGGTTTGGGTGAATAAGTTGGGCTCATGACATTCTTGAGCCAAATTGTCTTGTCTTCCTTATCCTGTGTGTCCTTGTCTGGTTTCCATGTTTGTTTGTGATAGGAACTAGGTGGAGGGTCTCCAAGGCAAACCTGACCTGTTAGCTTAAGCAGAGTTACTCAGCAGAAATACGCTCTTTGAGTGTGTGTGTGGCTCCTCTTTGGTCATACTGGAGGGACTTTTATACTTTCTCCCTTGGCATTATGCCAAGTGTGAGGCTATTCTGGATGAACCAAGTAATCCCTTTTGCTCTTGGATCTTGAAGCCCCTGTGTTTTCTGAACAAGAGTCTGACTGGCCTTTCTCTGGGTCTCTGGAAGAATGGCATCTGATTGTGCCATCCGACCCAAGTGAGCCTTCAGGGTGCATGTGTGTGTGTGTCCACGTAAGCCCACACAGAGGAGCATGCAGTTCTTTTCTCTTTGAAATCAAGCAGCACTGACCTGTTTTCATCAAGCTGCAGAGAATCTGCTTTGCTTTCCTTCAGCTAATTGAGAAAGACAATGAATGTATGTCTCTTCCCTGAATCCATGGGGAGAAGCCGGAGCCCCCCTCTTCTAATTCCCTCCCTCTCCAATCTCTGGCTTTCTCTTTAGCATTGGCTGCCTCTATCACAAGATCAGTTCTTGTGTAATATTAATAGAGCTTTTAGAGCTTTCCTGGCTAGCTGGTCACTGGCTTAATATTAACTTTGGACCAGGGTAGAGATAAGCCTGTTTGGCTGTCGACCTTGGCAGTGAGAAGCCAAGCAGAGGGCAGGCATTTCTCAGGCACACAAAAGAAAAAATGACCCCTGTGCCAGGTCATGTTTGGAATAAGGCACCAAGTGCAGAAAATGGCCCACGTTTGCACTAAAGGGTAAAAGTCGTCACCTGAGAAAGAGCACAGTGCAGAGGAGGGCTTCTGACCTCTGTCTCAGATGCCAGGGTCTTTTTGTGCAGGCTTTCTGATAGCCTCTGTGCAACTTGCTGGGTTGGGCATATTCCCTTTGACAATGTCTTTGAAAATCACATTAGAAGCTAACAAGCCGAATATACTGTACCTCTTCAGCTATGTAGCTTGTAGCCTCTTAGCTGGAGACATTTGACAAAGAATCACAGGACCCAGAGAAATATCTCCCATCTGATGTAGAGCCTATATATATGGTAACCCAACTTCACCTGTTGACCTTAGCAGGACACTTAAACTTCAGACTCTCCCCATCCTAAACAATCGAGGAAGGAGAGAGGGTCCTGGCTAGTCAGATTACTTGAGGCCTGCCTGCCTCACATTTCTTGGCCACAGGTTGGTTCCAAGTTCCTGGCTACAGAGTGCCCCAGGTGCTTGGCCCATGCCACAGGGGAAGCAGGCACTGTTGTCAGAGCTGCAAGGACAGAAAGGCCACTTCTAGTTCCAAGTGTTGCTTACCTTTTAGTCTCTTATTTTGGGGGGTGTGGGGAGAGTACCAGGGATTGAACTCAGGGGCACTCACCCACTGAGCCACATCCCCAGCCCTATTTTGTATTTTATTTAGAGATAGGGTCTGACTGAGTTGCTTAGTACCTCACTTTTGCTGAGGCTGGCTTTGAACTCATGATCTTCCTGCATCAGCCTCCCAAACTGCTGGATTATGGCATGCGCCACTGCTCCAGGCTTATTCTCCTTTTTAATAAAAAACATGAAGGGGCCAGGATAATTCCCATTCCTTTTTAGCTAATAATTCTACCTTTCTCTGGCATTTCCTGGGAGCTATTTTTTAATGGTTCTGTTACCCTTTTATCCTTTCCCTCATGGGCCCTGTATGAATAGGATAGTGGCCTCAATCTGTCCCAGTGGGTGGGTCCCAACTCAGTGTCTTACTAGACTCCCAAGGCTTTTAGTGCCCGTCTGTTTTCCATGTTCCCAGAAGGGAACATCATGTGGCCCAAAAGGGCTGTGTCCGCCTCGCTTCTCACTGGCTTCTGGCTTCTGTCTCCATCAGGGCACCCTGACCGCCCAGGGCAAGCTGCTGCAGCAGGACACATTCTATGTGATTGAGCTGGACGCCGGCATGCAGTCCCGGACCAAAGAGAGGCGTGTATTCCTCTTCGAGCAGATTGTCATCTTCAGCGAATTGCTCAGGAAGGGCTCCCTTACACCAGGCTACATGTTCAAAAAGAGCATCAAGGTGAGGGGCCAGCAGGCGTACAGAAAGGAAGAGCCAAGTTCTTGGAGCTATGTCCCTCAGATGAGGCCCTGGAGTGGTGAGGACCCAGAGCCTCAAGGACCTCTCAGCCTAATAGCCTTCCAGCAAGAAGGCTGAAGGAAAAACAGTGATCACCCATGGGAAACAGTGACAGGCCCCCAGCTGGTCTCCAGCAAGATCCTGCATGTTCCCCCCACCCTCAAAGGCAAAAAGCAGAGTATTTCCTATTAAATCCAAGGCAAATTTTGGAAACTTCTCCTGAGATAAAAGAACTTTGAGGTCCAGTGATAGGTACCTGTTTTGTACAACTTCAATATGAAAAGGATCAACTTGTTTTTTCCAGATGAATTATTTGGTCCTGGAGGAAAACGTGGACAATGACCCCTGCAAATTTGCCCTCATGAACAGGGAGACTTCAGAAAGGGTCATTCTGCAAGCTGCCAACTCGGACATCCAGCAGGCCTGGGTGCAGGACATCAATCAAGTCTTAGAAACACAGCGAGACTTCTTAAATGGTATGTGCCACGCCTGCTTCCTGCAGGGCCTTTTCAGGGAACCCCACACCTCTTACCTTCCTTGGGTCTAAGCTCTTGGAGAGTTATGAGCTCAGAACACATTTTATATGGACTCCAACTGTTTACTTTTCAGAAACACTTTAAAATTCTTTTGAACCTGAATTCACAAATGGAGCAGATTGGGTGTGAGAAAGAAGGTCCATCTTTCCAACAGAAGGGATCTTCTCTTCTAGGACATGCCATGCATGTTTTTTGGCCACCACTACCAGCTGGTAATAATTTTAGAAAAATTCTGAGATGGGGACATCCTGTCTCATGGGGGCTGGCTGTCAGTGATGTGTGTTTTCACACTTGGTGGCTAATGACTGGTACTCTCTCAGGCTATTTTTTTTTTCCTATTTTTAAATTTTTTGTGCTCTATCACTAAACTACATCCCCAACCCCTCACTAGGGTTTTGTAGAGATAACAGAATTTGGCAGATCAGTTCAAATCCCTTCTCTGTTCCCAGCACAGCAAGAGCCCAGATAAGCCACCCTCCTAACTGACCTTGCCCCTGTCAATTGAGAAGTGATCACTACCTCTAAATTTCCAAAATACCCCCAACAAATTGATTATGCAGAGAATATAGCTCTCTATGACCCTCCAGGAATCCTCTAACAAGTGGAATGAAGGAGAGTCCCTACCTTCTTCTGTTTCTTTATTTTTGCCCTGCTGGGATTTCTTCACATTGTGCTTGACATATGAAGGAAGCATACATTTTTACACTAGTGCTGATCTGCTGAATTGGTGAGCTCAGAAGTCTCTCCAACAGAAATGGAGCCTGAAGTTGAAGGCAAAATGGAACCAGTAGCAAAGTAAATCTGGAGAGTCAGCAAATATATCTGTCTGGATATGTACACACACACACACACACACACATATGCACACAGGACCTCCTCCAGATATATCACCCCTTCTTGCCTGCCCTGAGACTTGACTCCACGGCCATATGTACTCACACTTGTATGCACACATTCAAATACATACAAGACCAGCCCTAGGTGTCCCATCCTTTCTTCCCAGTACAGTGCTGACATCTATATCACAAGCTATGTGTTTATATCTACACACTCGCACACACATGCACACATATCCACAGGTCCACCTCTGCATATATCACTTGCCTATACTCAGGCTGGTACTAGATGGTAGGTGTACTCATACATGTACATACACATGTACACTCACACATGGGCAAACCCTTGGGCCTGTCACCTCTGCTTGTCAGTACTAGATCTAGACTTTCAAATGATACAACATAGCATTTTCTGGGTGTCTAGCATGGAACTGAATGCTGTGGAGAAAGATAAGAGATGACATCCTAATTGAGGACTTGGGCAAGGCACGATGTATCTCTGGGCCTCAGTTGACTTGCTTTTTGAGAAGGAGAGTTTGGGGCTAGGGTGGTGGCTCAGTGGTAGAGTGCTTGCCTAGCATGTGTGAGGCCCTGGATTCGATTCTCAGCATCACATATAAATAAACAAAATAAAAGTCCAATGATAACCAAAAAACATATATGTAAATAAAGAATAAAAAAGAAAAAAAATAAAAGGACAGTTTGGGGCTAGATCTACTCTACCCATGCTGGGGTGAGCTGAGGTGGGCCATCAGTACTGGCTACAAGGAAGCGTGGCCCACTGCCCTAAAGTGTCAGTTTTCTCCATGGTAAAGGAGTAAACACAATGTTTTTATTTTTAAAAAAATAGAGATTATATAGCAGGATGACATACTTTTTAAGATAGAATATGAGTAGTCAAAGCAACTACATATTTACAAAGATTTGGGGCGGGGGGGGGGGGGGGCATGCCCTCTGCCCTCCAGCTATACAAAAGGTTGGTAGAAAAAACTAGACTCTCTAGGGCTCTTTTCCATTCTAAAAAAAATCTAAAATTGCCCCCTGAGGGATAGTAGCAAAAGTTGTATTTAGCTTAAAATTTCTGTATATACAATTTTGGATTAATGTTTTTATTGATAGAACAATTTAATGTCAAGACATATAAATATACAAAATATATCCATTTAAATTGCATCCTACTGATTAGTAATCTCTGATTCTAAGCTGGAATGAGGATTTTAAGTTCATCAACTTAAGACCATAGAAAAATAAAGTAGGACAAAGATTTGAAGCCAGAAATTGTTTAAGTGACAATAATCACTCTCATATATTGAGTCCTTACTGTACATCAGGCACTATATTAAGCAATTTTACCTGTTGTTTTTTTTTTTTTTTTTTCCACATTTTATCCTTACATCAACATGGAAAGATAAGTATTATCATCCTACTCTTTTTCAGGTGACAAAAGGTAGACTCAGAGAAGTTAAGAAACTTATCCAAAATCACAAAACACTAGATGATAGAAAACGTGAACCTAGAACTACAAGATTTCAAATTAGGCTCTTAACCACAAGACTGCAATGTAGTTGCTAGTGGAAGGACTTACATTTATCTGTGAGCTCCCTAGCAAGCAAAGCAAAGAAAGAAACAGACTATGGCATAAGACACTGAACCTGTGAACCTATCAGAGATACAGTTTTTCTGATCCTAAGACCTAAATGATGCAAATTGAGGCTGATAAAAGAAGGTAGGGCTTTGGGGCTGGGGTTATAGCTCAGTGGTAGAGCGCTTGCCTAGCATGTGTGAGGCACTGGGATCGATTCTCAGCACCACATATAATAAATAAAATAAATGTCCATCAACAACTAAAAAAATTTAAAAAAAAAAAAAGAAGAAGAAGGTAAGGCTTCTATGTAGCTAACTTAAGAAGGCATACTTCTTTTCGAATGCTTTAGCACAATCATTGCAGATAACCAGGTAGTAACCCAATTTCACATGCTAGGTATTGAGTCATGGATTAGATTTGATTACTAACAGATTATTGTTACCTAAACATTTAATGCCCATAGAAGATTCCCCAGGCACAAGTCTGAGCTCTGCAATCCTGTTGCCTACTTGGCCACACTCGAGAGACAAGGCTGTGGTGATGGCCCAGGGCCAGGCTTTTATTTACAGAGACACACACAAGCATCTCAACCCATCTTTTCCTGCTAAGACCTCAAATAGAAAAGAGTTTGGCCCTATGTTGAATCCTATGCAGACCTGTCACTGTGGAAATACCTTTACAACTGAAAGTTCTCAGGGTTCCTGCTGTTAACCCATTTAAATAGCTGTCACACTGATTACTGACCAAAACAATGTCATCAGGCCAGTCCTTGAAGTCATCCAGCATTCTACCTGGATGGCATTTGCCTGGCTGTACCTCTTTAGTGATCAATCCTGGGAATTTGATTATCTTAAACTCAGTAAAACAAAGCTCATGTCTTTCTCTTCAAGTTAGCTTGTTCTCCTGTCTTCTGAGTTGCACTGACTACCATTTTCTCAGTCTCCAACCTGAGCCATCTTCCTTTCCTGCTTGCTGATCTCACCTAGCCCGTCAGTCTCATCTCTGCTTTATATTCACACAACCCTGCTCCCGCTAGACCCTCTGGCCTCTTGCTGGTTACTGTCTCCTAGCTTCTGAATTAGACAGGAAGCCTTTTGTCTCTTCCTCTTCAACTCCTCTGCCAACTGCTACAAAGTTGATGTTCATAAAATGTGTCTCCTGAGATAGAATCTGAATTTACAACTTTAAAGTTCACTTTTTAAAATATTTTTAAATTGTAGGTGGACACAATACCTTTATTTTATTTATTTATATGTGGTGCTGATGATCAAACCCAGGTCCTCACACATTCTAGGCAAGTGCTTTACCTGAGCCACAATCCAACCCCTTAAAGTTCGTTTAATCCAGTCACTTTTCGTGATCTGCAGAATTAAGTCCAGCCTAAGAGTCCTGGCTTTCTAGATCATCCACTTCATCACCCTCAACCTCCCTTGCTTGTCTGAATCTTCTTCTCCATGGAAACCCAAGGGCTTCAGCTCCTGGGACATCTGACTCCAGGTGTTCCTTGAAGCCTTGAAGCCTGTTCCTTGAAGACCTCTCATTTGCTTCCTTCCTGCAGAATCTAAATATCAGAGGGATAGCCAGCCCTCTCCCAAAGCTCTTTATTCCCAATCCCCTATCCCCAGACATACACACCTGCAAGCACGTCCCACAGAGCCTGCTCTCCTCCCCTCCCTTTGCACACTTGGCACCTAGAATGTGCTGCCATTTTGTTTTTTTATTTTCCTTATTTAGGAAGGTGCCCTGGTTCTCACAGTTCTGTAAAAACAAAGGTGGTAACTTCCTCACATATCCACACTCTGCCTAGCACAAAGCCCAGTACCTGGTAAGCCTCCAGATCCTCATGGGATTCCCAAAGCTTAGGATGACCAGCTGCCCTTACCTTGCAGCACTACAGTCACCCATTGAGTATCAGCGGAAAGAAAGGAGCACAGCTGTGATGCGGTCCCAGCCTGCTAGAGTTCCTCAAGCCAGCCCCAGGCCCTACTCCTCTGTCCCCGTGGGCTCAGAGAAGCCCCCAAAGGGCTCCACCTACAACCCGCCTCTGCCACCCCTGAAGATATCTACCTCCAATGGCAGTCCAGGGTTTGACTACCACCAGTCTGGGGACAAGTTCGAGGCCAGCAAAGTAAGTGCCAGCTCTTCACTCCTGCCTTCACCACCCTGCAAGCACAGCCTCAGAGGCCACTTTAGGAAACAGCATCTTTTTATGCTAATTATTTTAGCAGGAACACTCCACTTAATACAGTCTAGTCTCAATTATTTTCCTCTCTTCTCCTATAAATTGAGTTAGACCAGTTCCCTCTGACTCAGACACTCTGTGATAAAGGGCTATTATCAGCTACAAAAACTTCATACATACAAAGGATTATTGTGATGGTAAGCATGAAAATGGGTGAATTTTATCAAATAGAGTAGTTGTGGTTATGCGTAATCTAAAAGCCACGACTCCAGTGTGTGCCATCTGCAGACAGCCCTATATTTCCTCTTTCTTTTTTTTTATTTTTTTTAGATACACATGACAATAGAGTATATTTTGACATATTATACATACACAGAGCATAACTTATTCTAACTAGAATCCCATTCTTGTGGTTGTACATGATGAGGAGTTTCACTGTGGCATATTCATATGTCTGATTCATTCTGTCTTTCCTCTTCCCATCCTCTCTCCCTTTCTTTCATTCCCCTTTGTCTAATCCACTGAACTTCTGTTCTTCCCTTCCCCCACCCCCACCCATCATGTGTTAGCATGCACATATCAGAGAACATATTTGGCCTTTGGTTTTCTGGAATTGAGGAGCCAGCCCTTTCTAATGATGGCCTGTCTTGAGCACCTAGGGAAGCAAGTTCACAGTTCTTCACCACCCAGTGGCTGATGTGGCAAGCAGAAGTTGATCATGAATGTGTGAATGGAGAAGCCAGTCTCCACAATCCATGCTTCTGATATTACTTGAGGATAATTGTAGACCTAACCATAGAACTAGTCTACACAGCTGGTTTGACCCTTAAAAAAGTAGTAGGAACAAGAGAGAAATGGGGAAAGCACTAGGTTAGGAATCAAGTGATCTGGTTTATATTCCACATTCTGAAACACACTTGCTTTAAAACCTCAGCAAGTTTGTTTGTCAGGCCTCCGTTTTCCCTAGAGCTCAATGAGTCTGCGAATAGGGCAGCCTACATTGATTACCTACATAGTCTGAATGTGTCATTTTATTTTTCCCAAAATTGTTAATTGATATTCCTCTTGTTAAAATTAATTCTTAATGTCCAAGTTCAATTTTGTTCATATTGACTGTACCAACCTATTTCATCATATCACCTGGAAATGACTTTGTCCCTTATAAAGATACAGCCCTTGTGAATCAATGGAAGTCAGCTTGGCATTTGGTCAACCATATTGAAGAGTTTCTGGTTCCCAGCATGCTGTAAGAGGCGCAGGGCCTCCTGGAGAGGTACAGATCTATCAAGAAGCAGCAGCCCTAGTGGAGACTCAAGTGAAAAGGTGGAATAGGCAGCACCTTCCCTGTTAATGAGGGCAGGAGGTGAGGCATTTTGTTCCCACAAGGAATTGGGCCAAGGTAGGTCATGGCATTGCCTTCAAATGGGGCAAAAGTGTATTCTTAACTCCTGTCTCAAGGAGGCTCAGAATGTAGAGCAAGGTCAGTTGATATTTTTTCAAAAGGAAAAAAAAAAAATGTAGTAGCAAAAGCATCTGTATTCTTTCCACAGAGGAGGATGGTGACCCCTGACCTGAGCTTTGCTCTGACCGTGCTATGCTCAGGTACTTATGTGTCCCTGGGCTAGTGCCAGGTTCTTCCTGCCATTAGCAAGAGAACATCATCAGGAAGGTTGCATACTAGGAAGGGGCTTTCAGGTTGAGGGTATTTTACACCTTTGCTTGGTCTAGGACTGGCAGTATTTATACCTGTTCACCCTTTGCTTTACTATCCTATGAAATGTGGAACATGTTTATGAGTATATTATTACTGAAGGAATGTTCTGCCTGCTGATGGCTTGGCCTTAGCCATGCAGTAGGGTGCAGAGCAAGCACATCTGAACCACTCCTTGTGTTTGTGTCCTTTTCATCCTTGGCTTTTAGCAGAATGACTTGGGTGGCTGCAACGGGACCTCATCTATGGCCGTGATCAAAGATTACTATGCACTGAAGGAGAATGAAATCTGTGTGAGCCAAGGTGAGGTGGTCCAGGTCCTCGCCGTCAACCAGCAGAACATGTGCCTGGTGTACCAGCCTGCCAGCGACCATTCCCCTGCAGCTGAGGGCTGGGTCCCCGGCAGCATCCTGGCGCCCCTCACCAAAGCCACAGCAGCAGCAGAAAATAGTGACGGGAGCATCAAGTAAGTGCCTCGTTGGCTTCCCCGGGAAAGGAGTATGTGGATTAAAAAAAAAAAAATTCAAAAACAAAAGAGCACAAAAATGCAAACACACAGTAGGGAATTACTGCTGCTTGTCCTCGACGGTGCCACTGGAACCAAGGGTTGAGTGCTGGCACCTTCCGCAGCGTGAGGCATCCAGGCCGGATTGTTCTGGTTTATCTGTTGGTGGTGGTTGTGGTTTTTCTTTGCTTTTTGTTTATAATTTTCTGGGTTTTTTTTCCCTCTCCCCCACCCACTCATTAAGACAAGAACCCTACTGAAACCCTAGGTGACAAAAGGCATGCCTTCCGTTGCTACATTTGACCCAACACGGGACTCACTGGACTGGACTTCTATTTATATTGTATGAAGTTACTGAGATATATATATATTTTTTTTGATTGACACCAAAAAATGACCTTAGCACAAATGCCAGACCTGAGTAGGTCAGAGCCTGCTGCTTCTCCCAGGAGAGAGGGAACTTTTTGGTTGTCTGTGGCAATTCCTCTGTACAGATTGTAACTTTTTAAAAAATTTCCCCCCCCTCCCCTGTCACTTTAATATATGTTCATGGTAATTTGTAAGATATTTCTTTCCTTATTTTCGTTGCGAAAACCCTTCCGAACACATTCCTGTATAAAATATTTTGCACTATTTAAAGAAACCCATATGGATGAAGTCAGGTTGTGCAATACGATGGAGAGTCACAATGTTCATCATTGTACCTGTAATGTAACTAATAATTTTAAATGTACTATTTTAAATATGTAAAATAAATTTTCACCATGAGCATGTTTTAATGAGGTTAAAGACTAGTTGACCCTTTTTCCCCCATCTCATTATTCTTGAACTCTTATATGTGCAAATGATTCTCCTTTTTTTTTCTTTCCTTTTCTATATTTTAGGAGTTGGTTGAATGCATTGGCAGTTTTTTTTCTACATAAAAAGTGTCATTATCACTAAAGCTATGACCGTAGCCTTCCCTTCAAAACAGCCCTTTTTGGTTTTCTCTGACTTCTAAGATGAGAAATGGTGCAGATTAGATGCTGTCCAATGGGTTCCTAACAACTGGGCAACCTTGAGGTGCTGACATAAATGAATGGCTAGAGGAGAAACAGTGTTTGGCTTGCTTTTCATGCTGCACAGTCAGCCACAGAAGGGGCCCAAGGCACACCAGTGAGATACCTGAGCAGTAGCACCAGCCAAACCATGCTGCTTTGGCCCTTCTGGATCAGGGGATAGAAGCTACCTTGGCTTTGTCAGGTAAATGCAGATCCAACTGGAAATCTGTAGTGGCCCCTAAAACAAACTGGGCCCAATCCATTTTATTCTAAAGACACATGATTTTGGTGCCTTTTAGGAAACCCTGGGAATAAAGACTCTCAAAGCACTGACGTCCCCATTAACCAACAGCCTGGCAGAGCTAACTCTTAGTGACCTATGCCCTAGTTACCCAGGCATTAAGCACTGCTTCCTCCTCCTCACTGGGTCTCTTGGTCACTCATTCACACTTTCCATTGGAGGGAAGGGAAGAGGAGGCTCAGGCTGAGGAAAGAGAACAAATTGAAATACACACTGGTCATTTTGGTCCTTACCAGCCTCTCTTGCGTGAGAATTGGTGGAGGTGGAGGAGAGAAACTGCCTAAAAATGGTGTTGGTATTTATCAGTGATGGCTACTCCCATGCTAGGACCACAGGGGTCAGAGCTGGTTGCAGTGCCTACTGGATAAATGTCACAGGAACCCTGTGTCCACATCAGTCCCCAGGCTTGTGGCCAAGAGATGGAAGCTCCCCAGAACATGATGACGAGTGCTTCTGGGAAGAAAAATTGAAATTGAGCCTGTCCTGCCACTTACACTACTCTGAGTGTTCTGAATGCTATTTTTAACATTTGTCATTTCTTACCAAGCATACTGAGGAGCCCAGAGGGTGATGATAAACAAGAACACTCTTCCAGGTGCACACACACATATACATACACACCATGCTGACAGCCCCAGGGGACCTTTTCAGCAAGGACCTCCCTGACTTGAGATATTCTTAGAAGGAGCCAGGGACATGGATTTGGGAGTAAAAGATTGAGCTAAAGGTTTGCTCCATGCCTGTTCTCTCTGAGAGAACAGTTGGAGCAAGGTACTAGAACACAGGCCATCTAGAGAGCCTGCCCAGCCAGGAGGTCCAGGCAAGCTCTGGCCTTCTAAAGGAACTCACTGTGCCAAAAGACCTAGGAACCTGACTGTGATTGCATTTTCCTCTTCAGGTTAATTGTTGAGCCTGTGTGTTAGGTGATGAATTATTTTTGGAGCACCTCCCTTGGGATATCCTGGCATATAAGGAGTGTCAAGGAGATGCTCTGTGTTTTGGAGTACCTTCCTTCCCCCTAAATCTCACCTATCCCTTCCCCTTAATGAAGATTCTCTTCCCCATGTTTGACAAGGAGACACTGAAGGGATACCAAGCCTCACTTAACTGCAGACAATGAATGGAACTTCACCCAAACCCTGTGCCCACACGCAAAATTGATGCTGCCTTCTCAGGGTCTCTAATGCTGTTTTTGCCTTGACTTTTGCTGTCTTTGCCTTTAAGTCTGATAGATGTGGAACTCTAGAGCTCTGCTCCAACCTTCCCTTTATAGAATCTCTGAAGAAGGAGCTCCCAAACTCCTGGTGGGAAAAAAAGAAGTTAGAAAGGCATGAAAAGGCACTGCCACTGTCACCTCCCTGGGAGCACATGTTGGGTCTTGTCTCAGCAGGGAAACTCGAGGACCTATATTCACAAACATTAAGTGATACAGAGAATAGTCCAAAACCCTTTGTCCTAAAGTACCCAGATACATGAGTCCTGCTCAACCACTAATTAAGTCAGCTGCCCCAGAAATCCTGTCGGTTCTACGGTATTTGGGAGTGGCCATACCCAAACATAAATAATAAGATGGAAACCTCAAAATCATCCTTTTGGTTCATTATATCTAGGCCTGGGGAACTGTCAGTGGCTCATGCACAATAGAATACACTTCCTTTGACTTCCCTATTCCACTCCGACTCATTGCTTCCCATCCACCCTGCCCTCATGAGAAGAACTCAGTCCTAGAAGCCTCCATCAGATGATCTGCAAACCTCCCAGGGAACTTTAATGATCCAGTCCTCATGTTTTCTCCACATACTGTAATCACTCTTGTACATCCCTCAGGAGGGGTCAAATTTCATCCTTGCTCACTTCCAGTGGGAGGTGAGATTAGCCACCAGCCACTACCTGGCGTGCAGGATTGGGGCCTTGGAAGCCAGGGCTGGACTGAAGCACCTCACCTGACTCAGTGGCGGTGAGCCCGCCCACCGCCTCACTCTGCCCCAACCTGCCGTTTTGACTGGTGCATTTTTTGGTACAACAGGAAGTCATGTTCATGGCATACTCTACGCATGAGAAAGCGGGCAGAAGTGGAGAACACGGGTAAAAATGAAGCCACAGGGCCTCGTAAACCCAAGGATATTCTGGGCAACAAAGTCTCTGTTAAAGTGAGTAAGGTATTCCAGAGCTGTGTCCCTCTCATCTACTCCCACCCCGCAGCATTCTCAAAAGGCAATTGGGGTGGATGGGGATTTTTATTTTATTTATTTATTTATTTATTTTTGGGGGGGCCAGTGTCGGGACCAGAGGGGAAGTAGTTTAGCAGGATTTTGCATGCAAGATCAATTTATTTTTCATTTTTTATTTCTCCTGGCAACTTCAATTCAAGTAAGTACTTCTTTTGTTTTCTTTTATACTTTTTTTTTATACTATGCAGATGTTTTAAAGCAAAATTATCTGCAGCATTATTCTCTTAGAAATGCAAGATGCTTCATTCATATTAAATTTCTCAAAGCTGCCCATTCAGTATCCTAGATTTGGGAATACATGCAGGTTAAAGAGATTAGGGATGCCCTCTAAACCCCTAACTCAGTGAAAGGCTGAAGTTGGGAGTTTAAGGGCCACTGTGTCCTTGGTATAGTTTTATTTCTTTTCCCCAGGGTTCAGACAACATCACCTTTAAGCATTTTACTTGCCTCCCCGAATGCACAGGTGTGGCAGAGAGGCACATTGGTAAAGCTTGAGTTATTGCTTTGTAATAATCCATCTATCACTTTGAAATCACAGGTCCTGAGTTTAGCTGACCCTTGTTTTCCCCAACAATATAATATCCATTGTGTAAATTGAGCCCTCTGAAAAGACCTTCCTCTGAACAATGGAAATTCCACACTCATTGATTTTGTGAAAATGTGTCATTGTCTGCCTGGCAATTGGTTTGCCCCCTTAAGCAGAGTAACAGCAACTAATACCCATTCTAACATCCTTCTTGGGGAAAAGAAATTGTGTGCTTTCCTTGGCCCCCATCTGAGAAGTCCAGCCTCACAGGAGACGACAGTTGAAATTCCACAACACTCATGCTTCATTCAGCCGCTTCCATTGCTCTTTCCTGTGAGATAAGCAGCTGTCCACAGTGCCAGCCTCCTCTCCCTTAAAAGAGCATGCTGCTGCCCTGGTGACTCATGCCCCCATCTTCAAAGCACTTGGTTGTTTCTCTGCCCAGTTTCCCATCACCCATGCTTCTCTGAAGTTCTCCTCTCTCCTAGCCAAAGCTACCTGCATTCTAACTGTGTTCTCTTTCTTCCCCCTTCCTCATGCTGCCAACCAAGGAGACGAACAGTTCCGAGGAGTCAGAGTGTGATGATCTTGACCCTAATACTAGCATGGAGGTAGAAGCAGCTATGTTGTCCTATTTCCTACCATGATTGCCTTTTTTTGATTTTTGTTCTGTAACAGTGACCTTGCTAAAGTGGCCAGCCATTCAAGGATAAATTTCGATGTTAGGGCACCTCCCGGTGTCCCCTCCCAACTAAAACAGCAACAACAGCAGCAACAGCAGCAACAAAAACTGAATTCAGTTCTATTTTGGTAGAAAACTCTATCTCATCTTTTTTTAAAATTACCTAAGTGTGTAGTTCTCTTGAATGCTTGCTTAATATTTTCTTCTTTGGCAGGTTTAACATTGTGTTGAAAATATTCAACCTCATTATTTGAATCAGAACTTTTTTTTTTTTTTTCATGGAAAAATAGCACTGTAAATAGTGGCTTTGTTTCTCCTTTTTGTTCACTCCTACACCCCTTTTGGTCTTTTTCTTTTTCCCCTTTACCTTCTTCCTCTTGTTCTTCTTCTGCTGGGATTTATTCCTCCTTCAATGCTCCAGAAAAGTCATGGGTTAAGTGTTGTTTTGCAAGTGATTTGGCGCCTGGTCACTACATGTAGCAAGTTGGTCACAAATGAGGTGTGATAAGAGCCTCGGAGACACACCTTTGCCCTATCCCTGGGGCCCATGGGCAGTGTCTATATCACCACATGAAGGAAAAGAAGCCCTGGGGATGGCCTTCCTCCCAGAGCATGGGCAGAGGTCTCTCTGGAGATTGTGAGAGTGGAACACCACATGTGGGACCTTTTCTGCTCTCCAGGTTTACAGGGCTGAGGGAGATGAGCCTGTGCTTCTGCCAACAGGAACATTCACTTCCAACTCCTTCTAGTCCATGGGATTATAGAAACAATGGCTCTTCCACAGTTTGCACTGAAATACAATCATCACAAATTCACAAACCATAGAGAATTAGATCGAGTGTCAAGCTGGCTGTCCTTGTCATGTTGTCTTTCAGAGTAGATTGCAATGCTTTTTTCCAAAGCTATGTCCTCATTCCCAATACAAGATAAAAGTTCCGAGGTTTCCCGTAAATGCAAAATAGGGAATGTTTTTCAAAAAGCTTTTCTTTTATGTAGCCCTAAGCTTTTCACTTAACTGTATGAGGTGTGATAGGAGCTTAAATTATTATTCTTAGTTTAATTTAACCTAATCTCAAAGAAGTCTGCCGTATTCTTGACAACCCCCACAAAACCTGAGAGAGCCCATAAGGCCTGCAATGGGAAAACCAGCTATGGAAGAAGTCAACTGCGTGGAAACAGACCAGAGGCAAATGGTGGAAAATGGGAGTTCTTCCAGAATAAAATAGTCCCCTTTGGATATGGGCATTGCCACTGAGCTAAATCCAGCAAGTGTGGTCAATACAGTGCTCCACTAGGGGAGGAAGTGGGTGTGGCCATTGTAGCCTAAATGTATCTTAGAGAATAAGGAAGCTGAGGGAAAATTCTGGCCCTACTTTCCTTGCATTTTATAGGATAGGCACCAGCATCTGTGAGTTAGGCAACTATCAACTTGTAGATGCCAGTGGTACTTTATCTCCAGGCCAGGTGTTGCTGGCATGTGTCAAAGATACCAGCTGCAAGCAGGGTGGGCTAGTGAGACAGAGGGGGAAAGCCAAATATCCGTGTTCCAGAAGGCAGTTTGGGACCTTGTCCAGCTCTGGTGGTTTAGAGGGACAAACGTGACTTTCCCACTCTCTGAAGGAAGAGATGGGTGCAGAGGGCTGTGCGACCAGGTGAGTAGCACCCACTGAAAAAGTTAACCCATGTAATCAGATGCTGTATTCTACATCTAGATGAGAAAAAATGCACAGGTGCACACACACATATCTTAGTGCTACCTTGCCAATTGAACATGTTTTTAAGGTTTTTATTCATGGAGGCTGATGGCCCTTTCGAGAACTGAGTGAGGTGGCTCCCTTGGAGGTGTTACTAGGTGCATAAATAAACACATTATGATGTACGTATGGAAAAGAGAAAAGCCAAAAATTGTGTTGATGCATGTCCAAAAAACGTTCTTCAAATACAATGGTCAAGGCACAAAGTTTCTTTTAGGCAGAAATTTCCATTAACTCAAACCCTTAAGGGGCATGTGATCTGAAGCTGCAAACATCCTGGTTAATGTTTCTGTAGTAATGCCTGTGGCCCTCGCACATTCCATGTAGATCCTCCTAAGCTCCAGCGTGCTCTTCTGAATATGTTACCATCTTGAAATTAACTCTAGGCATATGAGCAGCCAGAGGAAAAGCCAGCATTGTGGCACTGCTAGTTTGGTATTTTCAGACACAAATAACAAATCAGATGTGGGAAATTAACCTGTTTTGTTTGTCATGACTTGAAAATTTCTGAAGGGATATGAAAGTGGAACAAACATGGCAGATGAAAAAATGACCAAGGGGACATAGTAAAGACCAACTTGGAGTACAGGTGGACAGGCCACCTCTTGAAGTCTTCTTGCTGTTAAAGCAATCACTTAGGACCTCATTCCCAGAGCCAGGCTGGCCCCTGACCTCACCCTTGTCTTCTGAACATAACGCTGCATGTGTTGGCTCTGGGAGCAGGTCCTATGCTCTTGCTGGGCTGAACTACAGCCTCCTCTGTTACTGGGACCCTGGCTGACAACCTGGCACTGTGTACCCATGCTGAGCGCCAGGTCTCCAGATGTTAAATCCTGCCCTGCTGACTGACTGCCCTTGACCTGGTTTCATCATTCCTTCCAGTCCCAGCTGTATACAGGCTCATCTCCTGCCTCCATGGGAATGATGACACCAAAGCATTCTTTACTTTCTCTCAAATGGTGAACTGAAGGGTCCCCTTAAGGCACAGTTTCCTGGGGATTTTGCTTACCCACTGGGTGCCTGCCACCCCAAGGCTGGCATATGTCTCTAACCACCATAGTGTTTGGAGGAGATAATAGGCACATCCTTGAAAGCTAATTAAGAGAGAAATAAAGCATGTTGAGTCTTAGGAATCTGATTGACAAAGGACACCCTGTTATGGAAAGGGAGCAATTAGCTCTGCTCTCTTCCTCCTCTTCCTTCCCCTGCAGAGACAACTTATGGATTCTCAAACCCAGCCCCACTCACAGTCCACAGGCCACACCACCAGCCATTGCAAGGTTGACTCTAGGCCCATGTGGTTCCCTGGTGGCCTGGCCCCTGTCCTTCTGTGACTATCCTTATCGAGAACAGATCTCAAAATGATGACCATCTGTCTCTAGGGCTTTTCCTTGCACAGATAAAACTTTGAGAGTGAGAGTAAAGGGGGGCATTACATATGAGAGAAATGTTTCTACATGGAAGAAGAGTCTAATCAGAGTGGGAATCAAACACTAGGACACCTTGGGAACAAGTTAGTTCATTTTTTTCCTGGTACGGGTTGGACTGCTGATTGCCATTTCCTGGGTGAGGAACCACGTATCCTCCTGCCAGCTTCTCAGGACTGCCTCTGCCGACATGTCTGTGCTGACACTCGAGGCTGGAGCCAGGGCTTGCCCAGGTCGGCATCTGCCCTTGTGTAGCCCTCGCCCGTCTCTAAGGAACCTGAATCCTTTCTGCACTGTACTGAGTTTCCCTTAGGACCCAGACAAGGCTGGTTGTTCCCACATCCATACACCGTGGAAACATTTTCTGAGGACTTTCAGTTCTTGCATTTTGACACCTAACTTCTCAACCCCAGCATTGCCACCTGGACACTGGGAAAGGCCAGGGTCAACCTCCAGGCTTGGACCTTTGTCTTCAAGAATGTGGAATCTCAGCCCAGCATTTACATCAAACCCAATTAAATACTTGCATGTTTATTGTTTAAAATCTCAATACTACTTTTAGAAGAGAAGCTCAGTCCATTAGAATAAGAAATTTTAAGGATTCCAAGAAGACTCCATGTCTGCCCCAGCCTTTCAGTAGTGCCAGCCTCATTCATGACACAGAACAAGTGCAGACATTTTTCCCCGGGAGCCCCATGCCAGCTGCCGGGTATTTAGCTCAGGAATTAAAAACAGATCTTGGAAAGGGCTCTGAAAGACAAGCAAAAGACAAACACTTGGAAGTTGAAGAAGTTAATTTTGGAGGAAATTTCCAATCAGAGTAAGAAGCAGATTTTCAGAATCAACAGAACCTTTGACACTTTAACTCCATCCTCTTCATTTATTTTTACTGTTGTAAATTATATACAATGTAAAGTTGACCATTTCAACCACTGGTTAAGTGTATAGTCTAGTAGCATTAAGTGCCTTCAAAATGTATGTCCATCCATTTCCAGAACTTTTTTATCATCCCAAATGTACTGTGTGCCCACTAAACATTAGCTCCCTCCTATCATCTGTTGCCCCAGCCCCTTCCCTTTAAAAAAAGTGGTGGGGGGACTGCGGCACAGGAAATTATAACTTTCTGTTAGAAAACTAGAAGGTGGCCAGGTGTGTTGATGCACATCTGTAATCCCAGCATTTTAGGAGACCGAGGCAGGAGGATTGCAAGTTCAAGATCAGCCTCAGCAACCTAACCATATGCTTGTCTCATAATAAAAGGACTGGGGATATAGTTCAGTGGTTCGATCCCCTGTACTGCAAATTTTAAAAAGAAAAAGAGAAAGAAAAAATAAAACTAGAAGGCGCCCTGAGGCAGCTTCTGGTTTTCCCTGGTCGTTACTCTTCCCCTCTCTCCCTACCACACACCATCCTGTAGCAGCCTGGCACACCCCATCTCCAGGTGGCTTTTAATCTAAAACACAGATCCTGGCAGAGGAGAAGACCTCTCTTCTAGTGCCAATTTTTCTGTAAGAATATTTAATTGAGTTTTCCGGCTCGACAAAGAAAAATATCATTTCTGCCCATCCTGGCTTTCCAAGGCTGAAGTAGAACTTAAATGAAAGTCACATAAAAACAGGATCACATGGAAAGGGAGTCAGAAAATTTGGATTCTGGCATGGATACTGCCAGCGGTGTGAGCTGTGGCCAACAACCCTCCCTGAGTCTCAGGTTTCTCTGGGCAGCCACACAGGTCAAGCATACAGCAT